ATATAAAGAACACAATGTATAAAAACCGGAACAATTAAAATCTGCTTTCTTTCTTCACTTTTCGTTCACTCAATCATATATATTGAAATGAATTACAATTGCTGCCTTTTTATAAGCAAACATGGCACATTTACCAATGTACATACTAATATAATAATGTTAGGATAATGTTTATTGGTAAATTCCAATAATCATAACAATAATTAAATTAAATTGATAAATAAATATTTGATCCAATATAAAAAATTTCTCTGTTTTTTTTTTTATATATAAATATATTCTGCGTTGAATCTTGAAACATTTCATAATTGAATTCTCTTAAATTTTTAATTGATTGTAAGTGTTTATTATTTGTTTAGGAATTTATTTAATTATAATTTTATTTATCTACTATAAACTTGGATCTAAGCATGAGGTAAACTTATCTGACTGGATTTCACATCTTATTTGAATTTATGTTAAACAGTGAATATTCTCATCTATTTGAATCGTTTGGGTTTGGCGACTTGTTTGATCATCATCTCGTCTAAATAAATACCATATAGAAACCGGAAGAAAATAGGGTTTTCGATCTTTGGTTCAAATGGAAAGACATATTCGTAACGGTTCACTGGCTGAAATACATGTGTCCGTTCGAAGTCGTACTACGAAAATTATGGGGGACGAACCACTAGATCTGTATATATGTTTTTATCTATTCGTGTATGTTTATACTTATACTTGTTATGAAAAGTGCTTGAACGAGAGCCTCAGTTTTAGACCGAACAATAATGCATTTGACATAGATTCTAAGATTTGATAAGATTATTCCCAAAACCCTCCACCTTATTTTGTTTCTCCATTTATATTCTTGTTATTATTTGATTTTCTAGTTTTCTAAAGTTATTAGAACTTCTCTCGTCACCATGATTAAAATGTTTATAATTTTATTTATGTGCGATCGCCATCGACCCTACATTTTGAATTATCTTTTTCGAAAGATCCGACTCGCGATCGAGATTCCTTTTGTACCGGTAAAAAAAATAATTTGCCACAATCATCCATTTGTTATGAATGACACATTAAATTAACACCACCAAATGTTTCAGAATATTGCTACATACATAAACCTATTTAGACCTAACACAAACCAAACCAATAAAGTATATTTCACACAAAGTGAATGATACATTCATAACTATCAAAATTAATTTCATCACTAAAAGCATATATAAATTGTCGATCGACAATCTAAGAATCCCACAACTAAAATCACCTTCTCTTTTCCTTCGTTTTATGCGGACAAAAAACATCCTCAAACATGGACAAATCTATGGTCCTCAATTTGATAGTGTTTACCATTTTGATAACGTTACTGTGCCCAAAGACAGACTGCTATTGGCCGCCACGTCGCCCCACGCCCACTGAAGATCCCTTTACATCATTTTGTAACACCAAGTTTCAATTGGTAATTTGAATTTGGAGTTCTTTTTTTTT